GGAACAGTAGGATCTTTTGAAATGCTGCAGAGGAAAAGCTACTACAGACACAGAATGTTAAAATAATCCCCAATTGCTAAAGAAGTTGTCTGGTAAAATGATGCTCTTACCCAAAGGTCTTCTGTTCTTATTCCAAAATGCCCTTTCCACCAGTATAACTCTACTTATTTTTCAAAATTTTAACTATACATTTCAAAATGAATTCATTCACCTTATAAAAAATATCAAAATGTTATATAAAAGCCAAAGTACCCTTTGACTACCATCTGAACCAAAGACGTACCTTTACCTTACCAGGGATATCCATCAATATGAGTTTAGTGAGTATTATTCAAACAACAATAAGGAAGTCCAAGACATACTGTTAAAAAAACAAAGACATTTACTGAATATACATTATGATACTATTCATGTAAAAATATATACTCTAGATAATACTATATAGTACCTATATCTACTATCTATTTATGTTAATGACTTCTATATCTCTACAGGACATCAATAGAAAAGATTTGAGGGAATTTTCACTTCTGGTAATGGTGAAATAAATTAGGTAAGTCTCTTTCTGAGAATAAGAATAATTTAAAAATCTATACAAAATTTGATAACATCTACTTAAAGGTATCAAGCAACTAATAACACATAGTGAATAATTGTTAGACTAGGACCCATGGAAGGGCAGGAGCTCAGAGAGAGATCCAACTGGTTAAAACCTCTTTCCCCCTGGAGGAAAGTTCACTCATTACACAGGGGATTGTGAGAGGATGAGACACTGAAGACTCTTTGGATAGCCTTGTCAGGCTGAGGAACAGGAAAATGACATGGTTCAACCAGGAAGGGGTGTCCCTTTGCTTTGTGTGGAGATCTCCATGCACCACGTTAGCAGTAAGGGTACACAAGAAAGGCAGGCACTGGCAGAAATCGCAGCTCAGTTTTAAATAATTTTAGTCACTGAATTTGGTTGAAGGTTAACTCATGCTACTTGGCGAAATGTGGCAAGTGCCTACAGAAATAAATAAAAACTTCTCTGGAGGAAGAATACATCATTCTGGAGAACAAATTTCTACAAACAATTTTGCAAATACATATCTGGCCTACAATTAAAACAACACAGGCACACAAAAGACAAAAAGAATAAAAACAAGAGCAGAACCAACAAATGATAAAAAGAGAACCACAGAGAAAGTAGATATTAGAGTTATCAGATACAGACTTTAAAATAACTCTATTCATTATATTCAGGGAGATAAAAGGCAAGCCTGCGAAATTTGGCAGGGAGCTAGAAACTATAAAAATTTCAAAAAAGTAAAGTCTACTACTGAAAAGTCAATGGATATTTTTAATAACAGATGAAAGATTGCTGAAGAGAAATTTAGTGAGCTGGAGCATATGTGGAAAGAAAATATCTAGAATGAAGCATAAAGAGACAAAAGGAATATCTAAAAATACAGATCTAGAGAATGTGTAAGGATCAAACATATGATCATTTAAGTGCTAGAAGGGAAGGAGAATAATAATGAGGCAAAAAAATTTTGAAGAGATAATGGCTGAGAGCTTTTTCCCAGCTGATAGAAGATATCAAGTCACAAATAGTAGAAGCCATACAAAGCTAAGATAAATACAAAGAAAGCCATACCTAAGCACACTATAGTAAAACTGCTGAAACTCAAAACCCTCTCTACTCCCCCACCAAAAAAACCTCTTAAAGTGCTAAAGAAAAAAGAGAGATTACCTTCAAAGAAAAAACAACAAAACCCACAGATGATTACCCATCTAAACAATGAAGATCCAAAGACAAAATAACAATATATTTAAATTACAGAGAGAAAATGACTGCCAACATAGAAGTCTATGCTCAATGAAAGTATCCTTGGTGAAAGAAGGTGTATGTTTGTGTTCAGACATACAAAAACCACAGAACACCAGCATACCCACATTAAAAGAAACACCAAGCTGTTCTTCTGGCAGAAGGAAAATAATTTATAAAGGAATACTAGAGATACAGAAAAGAATAAATATTAATAAATAGGTAAATAGAGAGGATTATTGACTGCATAAAACAATACTAAGATATAATGGGGTTTAAAATAAGCTAAAATACATGTAAACAGCATACAAGTTGGGAGGAGAAAATGAAGTTGAGATGTTCTAAGGTCTTTGTATTGTCCAGGAAGGGGTGTGCAATGGACTATATGTTTGTCTTTCCCCAACCTCCCAAATTCATATGTAGAAATCCTAACCCCCAAGGTGATGGTATTAAGAGATGGGACCTGTGAGAGGTAAATAGGTCATAAAAGTGGAGCCCTCATGAATGGACTTAGTACCCTTCTAAAAGGGACCTCAAAGAGAGCTCCTTCGTCCATTCCACCACGTGAAGACAGCAGTTTGCAACTTGGAAGAGGACCTTCACTAGAACACAACTGTACTGGCACCTGATCTCAGACTTCCAGTCTTCAGAACTGGAAGAGATAAACTGTGAGAAATAAATTTCCATTGTTTATAAGCCACTCAGTTTATGAGATTTTGTTCTAGTGCATCCAAACTGATGAAGATGGGGGAAGGAGGAAATATCAATTAAGATTAGACTTTGAGCACTTCTGATGTTGAGCAAGATGGAGTCCTACAGACTATGTCTTATTGCAACAAAATACTGTGGGACAAAACAGAAGAAACAAATATCAAAGGACTCCGAAGAAGCACTGGACAAAATTTAATATACAGGGGTGGGCAAAAGTAGGCTTTCAGTTGTGAGTACGTGAAACACAGAGTTCATTCTTGTACTATTATTACATTATTTATTTGTATTATAACTGTAAACCTACCATTGCCCACTCCTGTATTTATCTCCAATACCCACCTACAACAAAGAATTATCTGGCCCTCAATGTCAAAATTGCCGTGCTTGAGAAACCTTCATCTAGAGAAACGAGTGCATAAGGAGAATGCTAATAACTGCATTGGTTATAATGGTCCTGAACAAGAAATGACTCAAACAACCTAAATGTCCATTAACAGGGAAATGGACATATTCTTGTCTATACATTCAGTGGAATACTTTATAACAATTAAAATGAACAAACTACAAAAATTTTAAAAAGAAAAGAAAGAAAGCATTTTCCATGAATATTAAGATAGTGGTCACTTGGAAAAGGGGAGGAGAGTTAAGACTGGGAAGGATCACATGAGATCTTCTGGGTTTCTGGCAGCATTCTATTCTTGGATGGTGTCTACACAGGTGTTCACTTTTTAAAAACTGTTCATTAATATTTTATTACTTTTATTTTTGTTTCATAATAAAACAGATAAAAGCTGACAGTAATTACTGTTTTTCTTCTTCTATCACACTCCCTTCTCTGACAGGTCCTGTTCTTATTTGTATCTTCAAACTGATCATCCAGTGCTAGGATACATGTTCATTCATTCAATCAATCAATCAATCATCAATATTTATTAAACACCACTGTAAGTCAGAAACTGTTCTAAACACTAGGAACACAGAGAAGAAATAAGGCAGGCATCTTGTGTTCCACGGTGAAGAGACAGGCAGTAATTAATATACCAAAACACTTAAGAGATGATTTCAAAAAGTACTAAGTATTTTGAAAACAAGACAGAGTTGTAAGAGAAGATGACTAGGGTGAGAAAGAATGACTGGGGTGAGATACGTTAGACACAGTGGTCAATGAAGGCTTTTGTGAAGATGACATTTGAGAAGATAACTGACTTGTACTAAGTGAAGTGTGAAGTTCTGGAGGAAGAACATTTCAAATAAAGGAAACGGTTGTTGCTGAGACTCTCAAGTGGGAAAGTGTTTGACATATTTGAGGAACCTCAGGAAAGAAAACATGGCTAGTGTGGAATGAGGGAAGGGTAGTAGGAGATGGGGCTAGTGCAGTAGGCAAGGACCCCATTGTGGAGAACCTTGTAGACCATGGGAAGAGTTTGGATGTTTTCCCCAAGTACCAGGAGAAGCCACTGAAACACTGCTGCTGTGTAGACTGTGGGAGGGAAGGCAGTCTCTCTGGCACGGAGACTCGTGTACACAACAGATGATGGTGGCTGTGATGTGGAGATGGTGAGAAATGGATGGATTCAGGATTTATTTTAAAATCGAGTCAAGAATATTTGTTAGCAGATTAGATGTGAGGCATGAGGAAAGGAGAGGCTTAAGGATGATTCATAGGCTTTTGTCCCGAATAGCCAAGGGGATGGTGGGAACATTTGCTGGGAGGAGGAAGACTGGAGAGTGAGTAAGAAACTTGGATCAAAAGTCTAATTTGGGCATTATTAAGTATGAGATGTCAATTAGACATTCAAGGGACAATGTCAAATCGGCTGTTGATTAGGTCTCTTCTTCACAGACCTGAGGATATCTAAAGTTGCCTTCAATCATATTAAAAATATCCAACAAACTGCCAGTTGATTTAATACAGTGTACACCCACAATGCTATTCCATGAATGAACATACAAAGATAGTTTTTAATTGAAAAAGTCGATTATAAAAGTAGATTATAAAACTTGAAGACTCAGCTGAGGTGTTGACTTAAATAGACCCTTTTTAAGAATACAATATAATATATATTTCATTGGAAGCCTGGAAGCAGATAAACTAGCATATAAGTAGTGGTTACTTCAGGTGCTGGGATTTATTTAGCACGGTTCTAGTCTTTTTAATTCTTGCTATAGCTAATTTAAAATGTCTTCAATAATCATGTATTACCCGCGTAAACTGCTTCTTAAATAAAGAATCCACAAAGGACTTTTCCGACAGGGCAGTCTGCTGCTTGGCTGTCTGTCAGGTGAGGGATGTCAAGGTGATGTGGGTGATGATGGACCAGGTGCAAACTAGGGAAGGCGAAGAGGCCCCGCCCCAGAGTCGAGGCCTGGGGGGCGGAGGGGGCGGTCCAAAGGGCAACACCCCTTGGGGTCACGTGCTCGCCGCCCGCCAATGGCACTCTCCCGAGCCCACCTTGGGGACGGGGCGGGGCGCCCAGCTGGCGTCACCAGGACAACGGGCGTTGCCAGCGCCGTGTGACTCCGGGCTGTGGGCGCGCTGGCGGCTCTTCGGCCATGGTGAGTGTGTGGCCCGCGCCAGCCCGGCCGCCCCGCCCGTCCCGGCCTGTGTTGCCGCCAGGTCGCCTGCTAGGTTTGGGCGGGCGGCGGCGGGGTCGCGGAGAGGCCGGGCCGCGGCCTGCGGGGCTGCGGGGCTGGGCAGGGCTGGGCGGGCCCGGGGGAGGGGGACTCCCGGAGGACGCGGAACGCCCTCCTGCCCCTGGCGACCGCGACCCTGCCTCTCTGCTGTTGAATGTCTGGGGCACAGCTGGGACCCCCTCCCAGGGGACCGCCGGACAGCGTGACGCTATTCGGCTTCGGCTTATCTGGGAAGCCGCCCAGAGAGGGTGTGGTTAAAAAAAGGCTATGTATCAATATCATATATATTCATGTTAACACTATATGTATTGCAAGCTGTGTGCTTCTTTCTGTCTTGTTTCTGCATATATATTTAGATAGCCATATCTATATATATAGTGTATTTCTTTCAGATCCATCCTTCTGGCAGATTTTTTAGTATGTGGAAATTAAAACTTGTAATTTTGGAGACTTGCCTTCCTTCTTAAAAAAAAAATGAGGGCATTAAGCTGGAGGTTTTTATCTTAAGTGCAACACTTTCAGGAATGTAATTAATAGTACCCTGCGGAATGTCTTAAGTCATTACCTTTATTCAGTAAACTTGAGAGTGAGCATACCACCTGGCCTCCATTAAGCACGTTTTTTTTAAAAACCTGACTTGAAGACTCAGCTGAGGTGTTGATTTAAATAGACAGGATTCAGGAAATTGCCAACCAAAGGTGTGTTTTGCTCGGAGGCCTCTAGTGGGTGTCAAGGAAGAGAGGAGCTGGACTCTCTCCTTGGGGACACATCTTTGGTATAGAATATTTGAGAGGAGGTGGGGTGGGTAATAAGGAAATGCCTATTTTAAAGAAACAGTTGTGTGTGTGTGCTTTTAAACCATCAGTAGTTTAGGGTACATCAGTGGAAGTACTAATAAGCTGAGAATTCAGGGTGCTTCTCAAGGGCCAGTAGACCTTCTGGAGAGGAAATCTACCATTTGGAACCCTGGCGGGCTCTGTCTTAATAACTATGGAGATGCACAATAGGAAGAGAAGGTGGATACTCTCTCTGTCTCATTGACTCTGGAAAAACAACCGCCAGGTGTGTGGCTTGTTGAAAACAGGAAAAGCACATCACTCACAAATAACAGCAGTGTCTTCTTTATTTTGTGTGTTTCTTTTTAATTCTGAACTGCTTTAAAGTGACAAATTAATGGAGCCAGAAAGAGTTTCAGAAAATGGATTTTACAGAGCTCTAGTGTTTTAAATATTACATTGACTTACTTTTATATGTTCTATGTGAGAAAAGCCCTTATAGTTACAGCGAGGAGAGAGGAAGACTATTCAGGAATTAATTTTCACAGCTCTCTGAGATCTCCTGTTCCTCCTGTTGGCCATTTTCCTTTTCTTCTCCTTCCTCCACCCCTTCCATTCTGACCCACAGTCCACCTTGATTCACTTGTGAATTTTGGAGTTTCATTTACTCAAAAATAAAAGCATTTTACTGTAGTTGTATACTAGTGGTTGCTTTGCCAGACTTAGAAATGCTTTGCTTTTGTGTATTGTTAAGCATTAAGAATTTATTTCATGCAGGAAAAATAATATACTTTATGTAAGGGATTCAGTTGACTTGAAAAGCTGATGCCTAGGCTTTGAGGGAGGTGGAAAAATGAATGGTTGGTATAGGAGGGGGCTTGAGGAGACTGCCTGTGTAATTCCCCAACCTGTATTCGAGATTATAATACTACCTTTCATTAAATGCTTGAATTTAAACATACAACTTTAGCAGTTGATATAAATGACTTTGAATGTGAATTTTATTTTTATTTTTTTATCCTCACCCGAGGACATTTTTGCATTGATCTTCAGATAGAGCGGGAGGGAGACAGGGAGGAAGAGAGAGAGAAACATCGACCTGAGAGAGACACATTGACTGGTTGCCACCCACTTGACCTCAACCAGGGCCAGAGACAAACTGCAACCGAGGTTCGTGCCCTTAGCAGGAACCGAACCTGGGACTCTCTGATCCACAGGCCGACACTCTAACCACTGAGCCAAACCGGCAAGGGCTACACGTGAATTTTAGAACTCTGACTGTTTCTCTATGAAATTTTCTTCAGTTAAGCCACTTGTTTCTATTGCCTCTATAAAAATTATAGCTGACATTTATTTTGTATATTCTGTGTGTGAGACATTTTTCTAAGCACCTATGCCATATTTAACCATCACAACAACCCTGTGAGGAAGATACCATTTCCTCATTTTAGAAACGAGGAAATTGAGGCACAAGGAGGTAAAGTAACTTGCCCAGGTCACCCAGCTGATACATTGAGCCGGATTTCAAAAGCAGACACTTTGTCTCAGAACCTGCTTATGTAAACACTGGATTATACTGTAATGTATAGTGTATCGTCATATGTTCCCCAGTATATTTGCCATACATATGTTAGGAAATTAGTTTTCTTTCTTATTTGGATTTTAATGTTTTGAGCACTTAAGAATAGTTGTATTTTGTTGTTCTTGGCACTGGACTAGATGCTACAGAACAGAATAGGCATACCTAGCCTTCCCTTCCTTTTCCCTCTCCTCTTTCACAAAGATGAAATGAAGAGGAATTGATAAAGACAGGTTATTAGATTAGGGTTCATATGCATGGCTGTAATAGCATTTAAAATTTCTCCTGTCGTTTCAGTTTGTGTTCAGGAATTGACACCTACTTTTTGTGACTCACAAAGACCAGTGTTTTACATATAGCTGTTTAAACTTGGAGGATGAAACTTTTACTTTTATTTATTTATTTTTAAATTCTCACCTGAGGATGTTTTTCCAGTGATTTTTTTTTTTTTTTTTTTTTTTTAAGATAGAGTGGAAGGGAGTGGGAGGGTGCGGGGAGAGGGAAACATTGATGTGAGAGAGACACATCAATTGGTTGCCTCCTACACGACCCTGACTGGGGTTGGGGATAGAACCCGCAACTGAGGTATATGCCTTTGAGAATTGAACCTGAAATTCTTTGGTTCTTGGGCCGATGCTTTAACCATTGAGCCAAAGTGGCAAGGGCAGGGGATGAAACATCTAAAAAATAAAATTTTATTTTCTTAGATTTTTCTAATAGTAATTTTACATTTATTTTAGTTGTATGTTCTAAAATTGTTGCAAAAAGACACCAAATAATTGTTTAAACTTTAATTCATGTGGATCAAAATATACATTAAGATACTTATTGCCATCACATTTTTATTATTGCTTAATACTTTAGCTTGTAAGGCAGTTTTATTTTTTGGAAATACAAAATAACATTATACCATACAGTTTCCTCATTTTCATTTATTCTCTTGGACTTTCCCCTGTTTTGGCACTAACCTTTCTATACTGGTGTTGGGAAGCACAAGGTAGGGGAAAACTTTACAATAAGGTATATCTGACATCTACAGGCAATTTTGGTCTCTTTGCCATCACATGATACGGTCGAGTTGCCTATGTAATGAGGTCTATGTTAATATGAGTGTGAAAAGAAGAGGCTTCTCTATTAATTTTTTTACTCTTGACAACGTTGGTTTCCCTTTTGTCTGCACTGGGTTGGAGCATAATTTTTAGTACTTAATTGTAATAGTAATTCTCTTTCTTTTTTTTTTTAATTTTTATTTTTTTTATTATTATTATTTTTTATCCTCACCCGAGGACATTTTTCCATTTTTTGTTCAGGTAGAGCGGGAGGGAGAGAGAGGAACAGAGAGAGAGAGAGAAACATCGACTTGAAAGGGACACATGGAGTGGCTGCCACCCGCACAACTGACCAGGGCCGGGGACAAACTGCAACCGAGGTACGCACCCTTAGCGGGAACCGATCCCGGGTCTCTCAGGACCGCAGGCCGACGCTCTAACCGCTGAACCAAACTGGCCAGGGCATAGTAATTCTCTTTCATAGAGCCTTTCGCTGTGCCTAGTTTCAGGCTGACCACTTTACATCTCATTTAATCCAACATCCCTAGGAGATTGCATACTATTTATCACTCTCAGATTGATTAGGCAGTTTGCCCAAGATCAAATAGATGGCAAGTGGCAGAGCCAGGATTTGAACTCAACCAGTCTGTCTTCGAAGTCTGGCTTCATAACCATTAACTGTGGCTCCTTTCCAAACTAAGGGAAGTGCCCAGTGCCTGGTGTGAATATACTACACCAAGATTAGGAGTCTCAGTGTCTTATCAGCTGAGCCAGCAAGCTCTTTTTTATTTTATGACAAACTCTCTGTTTGTATTGTCTAATGCAGTGCTTCTCAACCCTCCTAATGCGACCCTTTAATACAGTTTCTCATGTTGTATGTGGGCGTATCTGCATGTGGGCGGACCCGCCTGGGGATGGATAGAGGAGCGGTGTCTCGGTTCCTAAGACCATCGGAAATATGTGTTTTCAGGTGGTCGTAGGCCACCCCTGTGAAAGGGTCGTTCGACCCCCAAAGGGGTCGCGAACTACAGGTTGAGAACCGTTAATGACATCCTGCAAGATTTACTTGGCTTTTCCCCCCCTCCCAGTGCAGACTACCAAAACTCAGATATGGACAGCCATAGGTTGGACTACACTTTGACCTCTGCCTTCCCTACCTCATTTTGTGCCTCACCTCTACCCTGTAGTCAGCGGCAACCTCTTGGTGCATGGGTCAATGCTCAATCACTAAGCCACACTGGCCGGGCTAAGGGTTATCGTTTTAACTCATATTTATTTAGGCCTTTGATCAATTTTGGTTTAATTTTTTTTATCCTCACCAGAGGACATTCTTGCATTTATCTTCAGATACAGTGGGAGGGAGAAAGAGAGGAAGACAGAGAGAGAAACATTAATGCAACAGAGACACATTGACTGGTTGCCATCCACACAACCCCATCCGGGGCCAGGGACAAAATGCAACCGAGGCACATGCCCTTAGTGGGAACTGAACCCGGGACTCTCTAGTCCACGGCCAATGCTCCAACCACTGAGCCAGACCGGCCAAGGCTGGTTTAATTTTTTATATGTAATGAGGTAAGGATCCAACTTTATTGTTTTTCAGTACAAGTGGCTATCATTTGTTGAAAAGACTGTTCTTTCACCCATTGACATATCTTAGCACACTTGTCAAAAATTATTTGCCCATAAAGAAAGGGTTTAGCCCAGCCAGGGTGGCTCAGTGGTTGAGCGTTGACCCATGCACCAAGAGGTCGCCAGTTTGATTCCGGGTCAGGACACGCCCGGTTGTGGGCCTGATCCCCAGTGTGGGGCATGCAGGAGGCAGCAATCGATGTTCTCTCTCATAGATTTCTCTCTCTCTCTCTCAAAATCAATAAAGAAAACATTAAAAAAATTTTTTTTTCCTTTATTGTTTTTAGAGAGAGAGGAAGTGAGACAGAGATAGAAACATCGATGAGAGAGAACATTGGTTGGCTGCCTCCTGCACGCCCCCACTGGGGATTGGGCTCACAACCTGGGCATGTGCCCTACCAGGAATCAAATTGATGACCTCTTGGTGCGTGGGTGGACGCTCAACCAGAGCCATACTGGCCAGACAAAAACTTTTCCTTTTTTTTTTTTAGCCCTGGCTGGTTTGGCTCAGCGGTTAGAGGGTTGGCCCGCGAACCAAGAGACCTGGGTTTTATTCCAGCCGTGGGCATGTACCTTGGTTGTGGTTTGTCCCCGGTCCCAGTTGGGGTTGTGCGGGTGGCAGCCAGTCAATATATCTCTCTCACATTGATGTTTCCCTCTCTCTCTCTCTCTCTCTCTCTCTCTGTCTGAAGATAAATGTAAAAAATAAAAATAAATAAATAAAAGGGTTTATTTCTGGACTCTCACTTCTATATCATTGATCTATATGCCTGTCCTTATGCCAATACCCCATAGTGTTTCAATTACTGTAGTTTTGCAGTATGTTTTGAAAACAGGAAGTGTGAGTCCTCCAAGTTCATTTTCTTTTTCAAGATTCAATTATACATTGCTTAATGAAGGAGATGCATTCTGAGAAATGCATCATTAGGCAATTTCATCATTGTGTGAGTATCATAGAGTGCACTTACACAAAGCTAGATGGTGCAGTCTACTACACACCTAGGCCACATGATATAGCCTATTGCCCCTGGGCTACAAATCTGTACAGCATGTAATTACTGTACTGAATACTATAGGCAAGTGTAACACATGGTAAGTATTCGTGTACCTAAACATAAAAGAGATACAGTAAAAATACAGTATAAAATATAAAAAGTAGTACAGCTCTATAGGGCACTTACCATGTGTGGAGCTTGCTGGTCTGGAAGTTGTTTGGAGTGAGTCAGTGAGTTGGCATGGTGAATGAATGTGAAGGCTTAGGACATTGTTTAAATTCTCACATAACAATGTAACACTACTGTACACTTTATAAACACTGTACACTAACGTCACCACAGACACATGAGTAATGCATCACACTATGATGTTACGGTGGCTACGACATCACTAGGGCGATAGGAATTTTTCAGCTCCATTGTAATCTTATGGGTTTATGCGGTCCTTTATTGATCAAAACACTGTTAAGCAGCATATGACTTTATTTTGGCTATTTGGGGTCCCTTGCATTTCCATATGAATTTTAGGATCAACTTTATAATTTTTCAATAAAAAGGCAGCTGGCATTTTGATAGAGATTTCATTAGATCTATGGATCAGTTTGAGAAAGTTGCTGGCTTAACACTGTTAAATTTTCCAATTCATGAACATGGGGTGTATGTATGTCTTTTTAAATTTCTCTCAACAATATTTTGTATAAGATTTCAATATATAAGTTTTGCCCTGGTTGGTGTGGCTTAGTTGGTTAAGTGTCATCCTATACACCAAAATGTTGCTGGTTTGATTTCTGGTCAGGGCACATGCCCTGGTTGCAGGCTTGTTCCCCAGTAGGGGACATGCGGGAGGCAGCTGATCAATGTTTCTCTCTCATATTGATGTTTCTCTCTCTCCCTCTTCCTACCTCTCTCTTTAAAAAATCAATAAAAACATAAAAATATATGTCTTGCACTTTTTCAGTTAAATGTATTAATTTATTCCTAAGTATTTTATTATTTTTAATGCTGTTGTAAATGAGATTGTTTTCTTAATTTCAGTTCAGGTTGTTCATTGCTATAGAAATACATTTTTTTTTTTATCCTCACCCGAGGACACTTCCATTTTTTGTTCAGATAGAGTGGGAGGAAGGGAGAGGAAGAGAGAGAGAGAGAAACATCGACGCGAAAGGGACACATCGAGTGGCTGCTAGCTGCATGCCCAACCAGGGCCGGGGACAAACTGCAACCAAGGTACACGCCCCTAGCGGGAACCGAACCCAGGTCTCTCCGGACGCAGGCCGACGCTGAGCCAAACCGGCCAGGGCTAGAAATACAATTTATTTTATATACATATATTGTATATTGTATCCTGCAACCTTGCTGAACTTCTTGATTAATTCTGATAGATTTTTAAAAAGAATTATCTATATACAAGAGTGTCACCTGTGAATAGAGGTTGTTTTACTTCTTTCTTTCAATCAAGATGCCTTTTATTTCTTTTCTTGCCTAATAACCTTGGCTAGAACCTCTAATACAATGTAGTATAGAAATGGTTGTGTGTTGCTATTTTTATAAAAATGGTGATAGGGTATAAACTGTTCTTATAGTTATCAATATTAAAATGTGGTGGCTTCATGAAATTAATATATAGGGCAGTGATTAGGGCTGTTCTGATCTAAAAAAATACTTTTTTAGAAAAATGAGTTTTTATTGATTTTTTTAGAGAGAGAGGAAGGGAGAGAGAGCTAGAAACATCTATGTGAGAGAGAAACATTGATTGGCTATCTCCTGCATGCCCCCCACTGGGGATTGAGCCCGAAACCCTGGTATGTGCCCTGACAGGGACTTGAACTGGGACCTCTCAGTCCATGGGACAACACACAGTCGTCCACTGAGCCACACTGGCCGGGCTAAAAAACACTTTTAAAAATTGATTGAGGAGTACTAACAATTTCCCTTTTTTTTTTTTTTTTTTAGGTTTTCTCAAACAATGATGAAGGCCTTATTAACAAAAAGTTACCAAAAGAACTTCTTTTAAGGTAAGTGTAGATTAACTTTCAATAAAGAATTCAGATTTGATTCCGTCATCCAATTCCAAGACAGTCTTCTTTCTCACTGTGAGTCCATAGCACAGAAAAACAGACAGAATTAGCCTAACTGACTTTTTGTTTTTGTTTTATAGAATGCTGTTCAGCTTGTTGTTAAATTTTACTTGGTCTAATCCAGAATGTACTAAGTATGTACATAGCATTGGTCTGGATTCTTTTTGTAATGTGGTAAGTATTGTAATAATCTTCAGTAGGTGCCATTGTTTTGGTATCAGTAGATAATCTCAATGTAGTCGCTAACATGAGGAGAGATTATTGTTAAGGTTATGAGCTCCTGAAGTCATAGGCATTTAGTTGTTTTCTGATAAATTGGTTTTAAAATAAGTAGTTATGTTCTCACTGAGCATTTAAAATGTTCTCAGCCCAAATATTGATATGTTTTTATCCATTTTATGAGAATTATGTGTTAAGTGACAGTGAGTACTATATAAAATAGGCTTTTTGTCCTTTGTTTCTGACATCACTGAACAGGTAGTAAATGGTATTTTCCTTGTCATTTTATCAAGTAAAGCTGTCAGCCAACATTTGTCACCCTGAGGCACTGCAGTTTCCTTTAGTACTCTGCAATCATCAGATAAATCTTCTTATAGTTTGGATGTTACATTTAAATAGTTTACAAATAGTTAATACATATACACATGGTCATCTTTGAGTGGCATTTCCCAAATTCTCATATCACTGATGTTCCACCAAACAAATTGAAAAACCATGTTTTGTGACAAATAAATATGGGAAACACTAAGTTAACTAAATCAGTTTCTTTACTGCATGACTTCTCAGAGCCTTAGTAAGCTAATAGGCAGAGTGATGCTCCCAGATGGATGGCTGTTGCATTTTAAACTTCCCGTGGAACCCTTTTAATACTCCATGGAAAAATTGCTGGGAAATGCTGACAGTAAGAGATTGACCAGATGACTCCATTCTCTGGCTGTGCTAAATCTCATTATAACTTTTTGGGAATGAGTTTGAATTTTGTTTACATATTGGAGTTCAGCACAGAGTCACTCTGTAAATGCCACAGATTACTAACCTTTGCGGTCCTCAGTATGTTAGACTTTTTTCTTGAGCCAGAAATGGGGTGAGGATTTAGCTTCTTTGTGGTGGTGATCACATTGCTGGGCTTCAGAGGGTGTCTCATGAGTCATCAGGTGTTGTTTGTCACTGTTGTCATGAGCTCACTCTACTCAGTTAATAAAAAAGAAAATTATGATAGGATCATGTGAAAAATATGCCAACTATATTTTATTTCAATAAGACAAATATTTGTTTGGATAAGACAATATTTTTGGCATTTTAGACCATTTTAAAGTCAACCAAGTGGTGACAAGGAAGGAATGATATGTTTATCATATAAACCCGAGAGGTCCTGGTCAAGCACAATAAGCCATTAGGACCCGTATGGCTGGGTTAGGGAGGGCAGTCGTTAGTATACAACTATAGGGATGCCATCCGCAACAGACTGCAAAGTGGATGGTGTCCCCTAGAATTGTGCAATGTTTCATTCTTGGTCTGAACAATTTTTTAGCACAGACATCAAGCTGTAAAACGAGTATGTCATTTTTCACTCTGGGGAATCATAGCCAGCTCCAGGTAGACCTGTGTTAGTCATTCAGCACTGGGGGGTGATTCAACTCCACGGTGCTCATGAATACCGCTGCTGTCTGTGACTCAAGGCTGCTAGCTTCGCAGTTCTTCCCTTCTGGTAGGTTTAGCTTGTACACTACTCAGCCATGGAACAGTTTCTGTCTGTTGCCAAAAAAAAAGTGGGGAGGGGATGGAATTGTATTACTTTCTCTGGTAGTGTGATTTCTGAACTGTTTTAGAAATTTTAGTTCTTTTCAAGATCCATGGTGGAGCCAGCTGTTAAGAATCCTGGAGTTACAATTTTTGAATCAGGCCACAAGACTCATACATAGATGAATGTAAAAAAGAATGGCCACTTGAGAACAAATATGCTTACCATATACATTCCCAGGTTTGCGTTCTTACTCGTGCTCTTATTTTGGAGTCGGTAAGGGGAATTTAAGTTGTCAAGTACTGCCATACAGGTCTTCTCTGGCTCAAAACCAACTCTAGCCAATTACAATATTTTATTTTTTGTCTTTAAATCATTTCTGCCAATTTACTCTCAGACTTTCTATTCCCAGTCCTAGTCGCTCTCCCCTTGCCTAGTTAACCTTTCTAAGCAAACTTGCAAAGGGTTTGAGCCAGATCACTAAAGCAGTCACTCATCTTCATCGGTTACTTCCCCAGCAAAGGGAGCAAGTGCGTCAGTCTCTGCCTCAGGGAGCTTACGTGTTGATTCTTTCTGCTCAGTGGAATGGTGTCTTCGTACTTCCAGACTGTCCTCGGCTCACATTTTTACTTCCTATTGTAGACTTCTTTGTGACAGTGCAGACTGTTCCTGTTCTTGTTGGATTCCTGTTCACCTTCGGTCTTACTTCATCGTAGATGATTCTTTGACTTGATGAGACTCTTTCTTGAGTGTAGCTGAGGTCATTTTCTTCTCTGCCATTTCTGACTGCATTTGTTACGACCCTCTTAAATTCCTTGCAAGCTCCGGTTACTGGGCACATCCGGGGAAGCCTCAGCTTCCCCTTTGGGATTCACAAGCATAACCTGGGACTATATGCTGCTTTTCATCTATTTATGTCACTTTGAATCACTCAGAAAAATCTGTGAGTTTTTGTTTCATCTGATCCTCATCTTGCTAGTTTTAAGACAACCCAATATTATTAACTCACAGATTTCTTCTACCACCCAGTTTTAGTTTGTTATGTAACAATTTTGCTTTTTCTACCCAGCTTTCACTCATAAATTAGAAATATTCAAGTTCTCCCTCTCTACCCTTCATTCTCATGCAGTTCAACAATATAGCTTGTAACTTTACTCTTCCCTGGGAGCCAGTTAGATAGTGCTTACAACAATGGGGATTTTTTTTATCCTCACCCAAGGATACTTTTCCATTTTCAGATAGCGTGGGAGAAAGAGAGAGACATCGATGTGATAGAGCCACATTGACTGGTTGCCCCTCACATGACCAACAAGGGCTGAGGACGAACCACAACCGGGGTACGTGCCCTTGACCGGAATCGAACCTGTGACTCATTGGCCCACGGGCTGATGCTCTACTGCTGAGCCAAATCGGCCAGGGCACAATGGGAATATTTAAAGTTGAATCTACATATCCATTAGTGAGTTGTGTTGTTATTACATATGTTTGTCTTCAGCGTTATTTTTTACATTACTTTTGGAGCCAGACTTGGTTGAGATTTCAGCCTTCCCCATTTACAGGTTGTGACCACAAAGTGACCTAACTCTCTGGGCCATAATTTCCCATATCTGTAAAACGGCAATACTGTAGTAATATTTCTTACCTATGGGACTGTTGCTAGCTGTTAGAGTACCTGGCATTTAATAAATATTAACTACATGTTAGCTTATTGTTGTTAATTAATATCAGTTTGGATGCCTGAATACTTAATCAGTGCTGTTTGACAGTATAGTCTGTTTTAATGCAAACAGCTGGTAAGAGCAAGCTGTCCTGATATGGACCTTAACATATGCTTCTGCTAACAATATCTCAGGAAAGAACCCCATTATTAAGTAAATTTATGTGGCCCAGTGCTTCACCAACCTGGACTAATTCAGTGTCAGTGGAAAGTGCATGCTGCCATCCGATACCAAACTGACAGCCACTGGGGCCTACGCAGACTAGTGGTGGTGTGACTACTGATCGTTATTCTGCATAACAAAAGGCAGTCTCTGAAGGACCCGTTTCTCTTTTGAGAAAAGGAGTCTTATGTGAGTCAAATATTGGCCCCAAACTCACATTATAAATTTTAATATTAATTTGACCTTAAGTCTTTACTTCTATTATGGTTGCTTTCAGATGTTGATGATGAAATAAAAACACATGTACTACTTCACAGGAGATAGGGGGTGCTTTGTGCAGTAAATATGTTCTTTAAAATTTTATTGAATGTATTGGGAGTAAATATTTTAAAACATTCCGAGAAGACAAACTCTTGTTAGTTACAATAATGAAAGAAATCTCTTATTAGAGACATTTAATAACTTAAATCACCATTATTCATGTAATTTTTCTTTTAAAATTTGTGTCGATACATGACATAATGAAGCACTAATAGTGTCTGTTGGCTTGAGGAAGGAAGGTTTGATTGCCCCAAACAAGATTGCTGAGCCTAGTAATTCTGGGCAAATGAAATCAGCTACACAATTACATATAATTTGCCAGTTTTACTAGTTTGCCAGGGAAAATTATAAATGACTGGCACATACATTTTCAAATGCTCCTTTTCTAAAATTTAGAAGCCAATTTTATGGTTGAAAATAATTATGGGCTTTGTTGCAATCATTAAGTTCCAGCCCAGTGCTTATGGGTAATCTTGGGACCTTGCGGAGCGGTGCCATGAAAGGCACATTTCTGCTTGGGGCATCATTGAGTGGGTGTCCTTGCCTGCTGGTTGGTTTCAGCACTCCATGGACTTTTTCAAGGACTGGTACCTCCTCCACCTCCTGCTGTCTGTGATACCTTATATATATCCCAAGACAGCTGAACAGGTAAGATGCTCTTTGGGGGGTATATGCTGCAAATTCAAGTTTAAACATCCATGCAGATTTTTCTTTTTTGTTAAAGAGGTGTTTTGTTTTGTTTTGTTTTGTTTTTTGGTTCCTTTTCATAGTTGTATTTACCTTACATAATGGCAATACAGGACTGAATTCATGTGTTGAAATCAGATAAAGCAGCTTAAAGGCCCTTTCTTTTTATCTCTGTATACTATTATATACTATTTTAGAATTAGCATTTAAGTCCAGAACATGGTAACAGCAAATTTTCTTCAGTCTGGGTTGGATCGATGCTTATACATTAAAACTCTGATGATACGTTTGGATTTTTTTTTTTAATCTACACCAAGATGGCATGAAACACCAATGAAACTCCAGAGATAGTAAGAACAAAACTAGGCAAGTTATGTTAGAGACCTGCTAATTTTAAAACTTTGTGTTTTGTTTTGTTTTGTTTGTTTGTTTCCCCTAATTTTCACAGTGTGTAGGAATCACTTCTCTTGTTTCGGGTTGTTTCTGAAAGAAAACTGTTCCACGTGTAGTTATAGATTTGGTGTGTCCATGAGAGGAGATGGGTT